CGTTAATTAAATAGTCAAAGAGTCATGATTTAATGTCACCTAGGAGAAAAAGGTCCTCACAATGTGAGCCTTGGAGTACACAATTGAAATCTCGAGTAAGCTCTTAAGCTTACTCGAGATTTAAGCAAGACTTACTCCATTTGGAGTACGTTTTCTGTACTCAAAAGTTTTATAACCTATATTTCGAGTACGTGCTCCAGCTCCAAATTTCGAGACAGCTTTTGATCTAGATTTGGAGCCAGAGCTGCCTGGAGCCAAGTTTTATAACCCTGAAATATTTCGAGCCATACTCGAAACCTCTAAATTCGAGCCAGAGTTGGAGCTGGAGCACGAGTCAAGTTTTATAACCTCCTAGCCAGAAAAATAACTAAAACTTGGAGAGCATATATTATTTGTTTATAAGATACCACACTGCTAGAATAAGATACAGTAGTTGGCTCTAATTTAGTTGATTTTGATGGATGTATTCTGATGCAGAAATGCAAGATTTTTTTATTGTATTGGAAGACCTGGATCAAGTCTCGGAGTCATCGACAGCCATTTTGGGAACTTCATTATGGCCAAATACTGTGTACTGTTTTAGATATATTTCGTGAAGTTACAACAAAAGATCTCTTTTACATAGAACATAAAACAAGAGGCCATGGTCCACATCGCTCACTTGAACACTGTGGCTAGGAAAAACTAGAAATCGGTATATTATCCAAAAGTACTCCCATGACCAATCATGGCTTTGCTATTCTTGAGAAGAAGATTTTTAAAGAAATTTCCTATATATTTCTATGTTAAACTTTGGTCGGCCATTTTGGCCCCGCCCTACAACCGGGGGTCATGATTTGTACAAACTTGAATCTACACTACCTTAGGATGCTTACATATAAATATGATCAATTTTTGCTTTTTTTCAATTTATTCTTGAGAAGAATATCTCTAAAAGAAGTTTCCTATATATTTCTATGTAAAACTTTGGTCTTTCATTTTGGCCCCGCCCTACCCCTGGGGTCATGATTTGAATAAACTTGAATCTACACTACCTGAGGATGCTTCTATTCAAATATACTTGTAATCAAGTATGGCTTTGTTATTCTTTAGAAGAAGATTTCTAAAGTATTTTCCTATATTAATATTTCTATGTAAAACTTTGGTCGGCCATTTTGGCCCCCGCCCTACCCCCGGGGGTCATGATTTGAACAAACTTGAATCTACACTACCTGAGGATGCTTCTATTCAAATATACCGGTAATCAAGTATGGCTTTGTTATTCTTTAGAAGAAGATTTCTAAAGTATTTTCCTACATTAATATTTCTATGTAAAACTTTGGTCGGCCATTTTGGCCCCCGCCCTACCCCCGGGGGTTATGATTTGAACAAAATTGAATCTACACTACCTGAGGATGCTCCTATTTAAATATACTGTATAAGTGGAAATTTTAGCGAGACGCTAATTTCGCATTTTGTCCTGAAAAACGGGTGATTTATTTTTAGCGAAATGTTATTTTAACGATTTGAAATGCACGTTAAAGAAGTTATAACAAATAGAATGCAATCAATTTTTAGAGATATTCAATTTTAGCGATCTCAGCAACCTCGCTATACCACCTGAGAATGCTTCCAAACAAATATGATCAATTATGGCTGTGCTATTCTTGAAAAGATTTTTAAAGAATTTTCCTATATATTACTATGTGAAACTTTGGTCAGCCATTTTGGCCCCCGCCCCACCCCTGGGGGTCATGATTTGAGCAAACTTGAATCTAGACTACCTGAGGATGCTTCCATATAAATATTATCAATTATGGCTTTGTTATTCTTGAGAAGAAGATTTTTAAAGAATGTTCCTATATATTTTTATGTAAAACTTTGGTCTTTCATTTTGGCCCCCGCCCCACCCCCTGGGGTCATAATTTGAACAAACTTGAATCTCCACTACCTGAGGGTGCTAACATCTAAATATGATCAATTATGGCTTTGTTTGATTGAAATTGACCCAGTGGTTCTTGAGGAGAACTCCAGAATGTGAAAAGTTTACAGACAGACGGACAGCTAGACAGACAACTGGACGGACACCGGACAAAATGTGATCAGAAAAGCTCACTTGAGCTTTCGGCTCAGGTGAGCTAAAAAATATAGTTATTACGAGTATCATGTGAGTATCTTTATAGATATCTGAAATTCCGGTGTTTTGTTTGAAACAAGTGAAAATGCAAGGTTGGAATTGAATAGACAATTTTAAATAAATAAATGTCGAAGCAATTTACATATGTCAGCACATAATAATCATGGACAATCAAACACAATTAACACATTATGTAATAGAAACAAAACAAATAGCAGAAACCATCATAAAATCTTACGTTCACATAAAATTAAAAGCAAGAAATAAAACAACGCAGAAATGAAAAACAAACTGCTGCAAAGCAAAATACACGAAGGGAAATTAGCAAAGAAAAGAAGAGACTGCCCCCATACTTTTCTTCCGAAAGGAAAACATTGTCAAAAAAAATGCATACTGTGTTTCCTCAAGAGATACATAAACATAAAAGCTACAAAAGAAAATACCTTATTTTTTACTTCAGAACTAAAGGGAAAAGTGTAGAAGTGCTTATATAAATGAAATAAATGAAAATTTTCTAGAAATTTTCTTTCATTTCCTTCTAAATAATATACACTTATTTCATTCATTGATTAATCAAAACCATCTGAAGAATCAATCCGATTTCGAAGCACAGTTTCCAGTATAAAAAAAAACTGGGTTTTTATAGTAACCGTTTACTATGATACCTTTAATGTCTTTTGCCAATATTATCCGTTTTTTCGAAAATCATTCTATGTATGGTAAAAAAATTTATGATCATAATTAAATTCTGAACAGAAACAGCTAAAAAGAAATAATCGAAGGTGGGCGATTCGATGTTATTGTGAGAACCTCTCTATTTTAATCCCATAAAACATATTTAGACAACGAACAGTATTTAAGATCAAAAGTCAATAAAACAATACAAAATAGGTGCAGAGCAAACACCGACCTCCAAAAAATCAGAGATTGGATCAGGTGTCATGGAGGAGTGAGCATCACCTGCCCACCGGTCACAACCGCCGTGTGCTTTTTGTCATGATCGGGAAATAACGGAAAAATTCGTTGTCAGTTTAGTGTATAAAAGTATGAAAAACGTCAGTAAGCAATTGACTCAATGAAATATTGTATTTGCTTACAAGATCATTGTATTATGACTTTAAATGAGACTGCTGATGTTCTTGTTTCATAAACTTGTTAGTCAATAAATTACCTCGTTTTATAAATTGTTCATATGTAGAGCATGCTCCTGCGTACCAAATCAACTGAGATACATAAATTCCGTATACAGGTGATGAAGGTATATTGCTACATATAGGTAAGGGAAGCTGACGATAAAAAAGTTAAAGTCATCAGGTTTATAATAGAGCTTGGTTGTTAGATTACCATAAACGTCTTTTTTCAAGTAATATATTACTTACATTGACCTCGGTGTTCATGCCAATGTTGGGGAAAATCTACCGCCCAGGTATTTTTAAGGTACCGTTTCAAAATAAAGCTACATTTACTATTATAGAATTATAAGGGAAAGTGCCAATTTTCCGCATATTAAAGCAAATAATACAAATATTACAATAGACTTTTCGCTCAGACTATAATGTATTGTGAGTAGTACTATATTATACAATATATGTACATGTAAGAACCACAAAATTCTACCGCCTTGTTTCTGGAGGGGGCATCTCAAAATGTCAAAAAATTAAGAAGATCCTTGTTTTAATAGGGTACTACAAAATAAAACGCATACAAATGAATATGATGGAGAGATTGTAAATTTCTGTGTTTTACATTTAAAGAGCATATATTTATTACTTTTATAACATTTTATATTACCCCTTCTTTATGACCGTTACGTTATCTAACGTGAAAAACACAATAATATTACGACCTCAATCTACATGTACGTATAAATTTAAACAGAATCGTTTTAAAAATCAGTTATTTAAATCGTAATAAATTTTTGACCCGTTATTTCCTAATCTTATTTGGTTTTATTAAGTGAAAAAGGAGCTTTAAACAGTAAATACGCTTCGTTTTACTATTGATGTGCGAAATATTGCGCAATGGAAACCCCAGTCGACCCCCTTTAATACATGTTTACCATCTTCTTCTTTTCTCACATTGCATCAATTAGCAATTAATAACTATACAGAAGAACAGCGAGAGGGGAGTTGACTTCAAAATCTGATAGCCAAAAAAAATATGAAAGAAACGTTTAGTACCATTTTTTTTTCATAGTATAAACTCAGCATTTATAACTTTGATACAGACTTTATACCTTTTCTTTGCAATACGTTTTATATGATAAACGTGATGACTTTAACCTTTCTATCGTCAACTTCCCTTACCTATATGTAGCAATATACCTTCATCACCTGCATACGGAGTATATATATCTCAGTTGACTCGATACACAAGAGCGTGCTCTACGTTTGAACAATTTATAAAACGAGGTTAATTATTGACAAGCAAGTTGATGAAACAAGAATATCAACAGTCTCATTTAAAGTCACCATTTCGTAAGTTCTATGGTCGATACAATGATCTTATCTGCAAATACAATTTATCATCGAGTCAAATTCTGACTGACGTTTTTCATACTAATTGTTAGTCCATTATCTATACACTGAATTGAAGACGGACTTTTCCGATATTTCCCGATCATGGCAAGGAGCACACGGTGGCTGTGACCGGTCAGCAGGGGATGCTCACTCCTCCATGGCACCTGATCCCATCTCTGATGTTTTTGAGATTCGTGTTTGCTCTGTTCCTATTTTGTATTGTTTTATGGATCTTTAGATTGAATACTGTTCGTTACCTCTATATCTTTCTTTCAGTCTTTTTGTGGACTTTTAAAAAATTCTATGAGATAATTTTATCTTTTTATTTTTATTAAAATTTATCACATGTTTACTTTTATTTTTAGTATTATGACATTGAATAAAGGATCGACTCTGAAAGCATCCGTTGAATATATAAAGAAAATGAAGGAAGAGAAAGAGATCCTGGAAGCACATAACAGAAATTTGGAATCTAAATATAAGAATTTGGTAGTGAAATTGTTAACAAGAGTATGTGTAAGTACACTTCCTCTTCTAATAAAGAGCATGAACAAAGAAAAATTCCTCAGTAATATCTAACAAGAATTTGAAAATTGAATGAAAATTTCTGTATTTCGACTTTTGATTCTCTTTTAAAATTACTGTAAACGTACTTTTTTCCGCGGGGTTATAATTACGCGTAATCTCAATTTCTGTTCAATCCGCTGGTAGAAAATTACGCGGATTTCAAAGACTGTCACTATATGCCTTACATTTATATTAAGTACGCTTGGACAAATTTCCGCGGAAAATTTGAGACCGCGTACATAGCGTATTTTAATACCACGCGGACAAAAGTACTTCTAATTCATTCATAAAGACAAATTTTACTTATTTCTGCATTTTTATTTCAGCAATTAGAGGTCGAAAGGAAACTGAACGAAGTAAAAGTTAATGGTATGAAAACAAAAACGAACATGCCACGAGTGCCATGTGCTTTTGAATCCATGGTAGAAGAAATGAGAAAAAAACAACACTCCAGCTAAATCAGATGACCTGCCATTCGCAGCAATTCAGAATTCGGAGCCAATTGTAAAGCTACCAGAAAAAGGTTGCACTTCAACTACTTCAAAGGCATCTGATATTATATGCAAAACAGGACTGCATGTTAACCCAAAAAACAGAGAAAATATTCAAATCTCGGAGAATAGTGTTCTAAAATGTCTGAGAAGTAGTGTCAAAACCAGGCACCGATTAGAGAAAAATGACAATATACAGTTTCCAAAACCTTCAAATGGCTTTGAAAATAAGAAACTGTATATTAAGACCTGCAAACCTGCAAGAACTTTTTCAATTTAAGAAATTCAATAGTTCAGATGCTTCAGCTACAATAGACAAAGCCATAAATGTAACTGAGGGAGAGGCTTGTTCATCTAAATCTGGTTTCAAACCTTTGAATCAAAGACAAAAGAAAATGTCAGCAGGTCAACTATATGTGACCACGGATATCCTTGGAACTTTATAACGAAGGCAAAACGGGGTCATAATTTCTTCCGAGATGCAATCTAAATAAACTTCCTTTGGTAAAACAATTTGATTCATTACAAAAAAAAATCCGGTGCATGTAAATTATTTTATGCAGAGCTTGAAATTTAGAATAGTCCACAGTAGGATCTTAAAAGGAAATAAAAAATGATAAATTTTGAGTCAAAAGATTACATATTGTTATAGTATTATAATCATCAACCAAATCATGACAAGGAACAAAATGCATGTGCTCTTCCAAAGGAGATGGATTCTCCTCCATGGCAGCTGATCCATCTGATGTGTTTTGAGGTCTTTGCTTTTTCCGCTCTCAATTTTTGTTTTTCCGATGAGCCTGATTGTTGTTTTTTATCTTTAAATTTCATTGCAAAATTGTAATATTAAGCAATGCATTTTAAACCCTATTCAAATAGGGTAGCAATGTTATACTAACTCTGTAGTTATCCGATTAGTAATTTACTATTTGGAATTGTGATTTCTAAGTAGGTTTTAGTAATAGATTCCATGTTCAATTTCTCGCAAATGTATTCCAAGAAAAATGTTAGATATAAAGTAACAAAAGCAAAAATTATATATGATGATTTAATCTTTTATTTTCATACTTAACGCTTCAAAGGCGTGAAGCATGCTTACAGTCAAAGAAGTACAGATGTTTTATATTAAAAATAAGCAACATACTTTAATGCCATATTAGATGTAAGGACATGTAAAGTTACTGCAAATTAGAAAAAAGGACATGCAAGCTACTGCGTATTACGTGTCGATCAAAGCACATGCAAGTAATATGATTTTACTGCGATATTAGATAAAAGGACATACAGAAAAAGGTTTGCGTTTTGCATTTTTTTTCAGTCGATGCACGTACTTTTTTTATGAAAGATATTCCAATCAATAACATCTTGGGCAATAAGTATTACCCGCAGAAGTAAAAATCGGATTTAATTGCAAAAGTTATCTCCTCGTCAGAAATAATGGTATTTTAAAGGCAGTTTTTTTTTTTTTTTATAAAATTGCATTGCATAAAAAACTTAAAATCCTGCTTGAAACACTGTTTACCACACTAGTTGACTTCTGGGATTGTAGTTTTAGATATTGTTAGACTTTCTGATTCGATGTACTTCCGAGGGACATGGATGTATGTTTTAGGGTTATGGTCTTAGATTTTATCAGTTGGTGGTACATTTTATTCGATGAACATTTTTTTTTGTTCGTAATAAGTACAATATAAATACTGAAGTTTCTAATTATACAGTTTTTGAAGTACATACATATAATGAAGATTCATTGAGAACAAACTACATATGTACTTCAGTCGAGTCAAAAGATAAATGTTCTATTGATTGCAACACTCATATGCATGAAAACAGGTCCTTATAGTTTAATCAGGGACCTATATAGATCCCTTGATCAATCAGTTTTAGCAGAATAGAAATTCAAAGCAGTTTGGAAAGTAATCAAATATTCACTAAGCACGTCACTTCGGACACATTATGAAATAAATTAAGATTTTTTTTTTTCATATCTTTTTAATAAACCATTTATCATTCTGTGCAAACCCTGCAATTGATAAGATTAAAAAAAACAACAAGGAGATCTAGTTTCTGAAAGTAGTAAATCATTTTGAAGAACTGTATTAAGTGCAAATCCAGGCACGAGTAAACCTAACAATACAATAACAATTAACTTGATATAGAATAGGATAAACACAAAAAAAATTCTGATGTATTTAGGATTTCGTTTCCATATTGAAAAAAAAGTTTTAAACACTATTCTCACATAAAATATATGGAGAGAACGAAACGTATTCAGACTGAAAAGTTCATTAAACAATACAAAATAGGAGTAGAGCAAACACGGACCAACAAACATCAGAGGTGGGATCGGGTGCAAAGGAGGAGTGAGCATCCTCTGCTGATCGGTGTGATCTCTGTCATGATCGGGAAATAACGTAAAATCTGTCGTCAATTCAATGTGTAAATATTGGCCAAATAATAAGTAAGAAACACACCAGTCGTCATTCCAATTAATGTTAAATTGTTCTCTTTCTGACAAGGTCATTGTATCGACCATAGAACTTACGAAATGATGACTTTAAACTAGACTTTTGAAATTCTTGTTTCATTAACCTGTTGGTCAATAATTTACCTCATTATGAGAAATTGTTCGTACGTAGAGCATGCTTTGTTTTTATTTTATGTAGACTCTTGATTTCCTTGTTTTATCAAGAATAATAGGTAAATAGATAAATGTTAACACTAACTTTGTTTTACTGGGAGCAACACAAATTAAGCACAAACTCACTAGCTCTTTCATTCAGAAAAAGACTCCAAATTTATCCTTAAGCTTCTAAGTGCCGTGCTCAATTTGACAAAAAATATTCGGAACTGCATTTTTCTCATATATATATATATATATATATATATATATATATATATATATATATATATATATATATATATATATATATATATATATATATATATATATATATATATATTTAAATTTCTAAACCAAATTAAAATAAAATATAAATTTCATCTGTGAGCATGATTTAACGAAAGTACAGTAGTGCTTGTTTAAATATCGCTGGATTAAAGAGTTAGGCTTTTTCAAAACATGGCTGGTTTAAGATATTTCAATCTCCAATGATGTCATTGGTTTTTGCCAACACTATTTTTGATTTGAATTCATTCCAAATAGAAGAGTATATTTTGGATGATTGTTTTTCTATAGGTGTCTTGATACACATTGTTAAGTAAATTTTAAAAAAATGTTTAAAATGTATCTTTTCCTTAATTCAACAATTTTTCAATCTTAAAAAAATGACAAGGGCACTTACTTCTTCAGGTATCTTTATTCAAGCATTGTATTTCTAATGTTAAATATTTTCCCTGATATTCATAATTCAAAAGTATCTGACCACTAGCATTTACTTCGGACTTTCAGCATCATAAATATGTATTTGAACCAGTTTTTAGATAATTTTTATAATACCGGTATTGTTTACAAAAAAAAGTACGGTTTCTTCCATCTTAAGGTAAGGTTTGTGACTCCCTCCAAATTTAATTCGTTTTCAGTCGTACATATGTCATACATCTATTAATTAATAGCTTTTTCTTTTAACAGGATTTCAAAAAATATTGCCCGCCCCGTTTTTTTTTTTCAGTAATAGACGTCAAATGTAAGGTATTTGCCGTTTTACAGTTTTAATCATTTTTAATAACAAAAAATAATGTATCTTATAAACTACTATATTAAGATACTGTAAAAGTACAAATACTCGTGGGGGATTAAGTTTCGTTTATTTTGTTGTTAACAATTATCAACGAAACTAAATCCCAGACGGAAATTTATATGACTATATATTGAATAGAGTTACTTTCAAAACAACGGAATAAAATGTCAACGAAACTTGAAAACAAATCAACAGAATTTTATTCCCACGAAAATGCGTGCTTCTACAATAGTTGAAATGTCATTAATTATTATTTTTTATACTTGATTTATCATAAATATTATAAATCAGGCTTTTTCTGCATTTTGAAAGTAAACATTGATACAATTTTTATAAAGTGTACTTGTCAAACTAAATTTTATATGATATTGTTTTTTAGCAGAAATCATTGAGCATAAATAATCAGAATAACACTCCTATGCTTCTGAATAATATGCTCAAGGAAAGATTCTAGGTTTACATGTTCCACTAAAAGCACCTTTACAATTGATAGTCAATGGAATTCTGTTACAAATCCTTTCGAAATGCAAGTTAACTTGCTTGATGTGTAACCATGTACATATTTGTGTTCATCATGGGTTTTTGTTATGCTGCTGTTCAAAAACAAGTTTAAGTAAACCAATAAAAGCTTTTGGACCTATATAATTTTCAATAATTTGTATTAATATCAAGGCATCCTAGCAAATGTCTTTATTCAGCTATGACTGGTAAGGTTTTACATGCAATTATTTGAGTGAAAAATTGTAGTCATTGCATCTAATAGGTGGGCTATCTTTAAAGCAGTACGTATACCTACATAAAATCATTTTATTAGTTTGTTCGTTCGTTTGTTTAATATTTCTTCAATAATTTTTCACTCATATTGAAACGCCACCACTTGACAATGGAAGGATGCAAATTAAGACTAGATTTCGCCTTATACAGTGTCAATCAAACTGAATTTTCAAAAATGCACTTTAAAAGCCAGTCCGCGAGAAAACCATGCAAAATTCAAAAAATCGTCCAAATGGAAGGTTGCAACTTGGGAGTTTTTAGTGGCTTAAAATTTTTTACATAAAGATAGAAGTCAGAATATCCATACAAAAATGTCGAACCCTGCATCTATTTTTAGTAACAGCTCATTTGCATATTTGTCGAAAATCACACAAAATTTAATGGAAAATCTATACAAATTGATCTTGTCAAAAAGTTACCTTTTGTCATCAGTTTATTTTCAAATTTTGTTTTATTCTCAAAGTAATGGTCCAATTTACACAATTAATGAGGAAAAACTTAATTCAAATGAATATTTTATTTTTTACACATCTATTTATAGATCATAAATCAATGAGTATGATTTTTTAGCCATTTTTAGATGCTCGTTTCTCTCAAGACCAAGGTTGAAATTAAATTAAATTAATTGTTACTTTAAGAGTGATCTAAGGTCTACTTTGTATTAAAATATTGAGCTTGGGAAATAATATCTACATGTTGTAAATTAACTTTGAAATACCGTACTTTGCTACAATTTCACATATTTTGAATAACAGTCTATTACCATATTTATGGATTATTTCTATGAAATTTAAATGAAAAAGAGAAGATTCTTAATCTAATATATTTTTTAGAGTAGGAATAACTGATTTGGATACTTCAGATTACTTTCTTTTGCTTAATTTAGGCTCTTGTTACCAATTTGCTGGAGTTAAATTGTTATCTCCCCTTCTTGGAACTCTTTAGTATTATTGGGTAAAAAGTGACAGGTA